CTGTCAGATTGCGTCAATACTAAAATGCCCCCAGCAGACTTCTGAAGTGCTTACTTAATATAAAGCATGACTGTAAATCAACCTAATGAATCAAAAGCAATTGCTTTGCTGTACTTCAATCTGACAATTGATTTTACAGAATGAGAGATGCATATTTACAAATATGCATGCACTGCAAAAATGTTTTTTTGTGAGTGTATTCAGCATGCTGAGTTGTAAAGGGGAGTTACTCACTACCATGGTAATGTCTGAATGTTTACTGCACTGGCACTAGAGTGCGCTGTCATGACTAAATAATGTTTTATACTAAATTTACACAACCAATTGCCCCACAGAGCCAATGAATTTCCATGACTTTTCAAGACATTTGATTACTTACAAAGCAGTTTAATTAGAAAGCAATGTCAAGCCAATGAAATAATATTATTATTAAGCTGAGCATACATAGAAAAAAATATATATTCACTGTAGCCATTTGACTTTTCCATGACTGATTTGACCTATTCCAGGCCTGACATTTTCTGACATAAGGTGCACAATTCTGCATAAATTGATGATTTTAAATAGAGATGAAGTTTCTGAACAAAACCGCACAAACAGCTCATTCACACTTTGGTAAGGAAGCATCTGTCAGTGTAAAACACACTATTGTCTGTAATAAACGTGAGCTTCTGCAGGACTGCTGGTGGCTATTGTGAATGTAACAGCGGGCTGTATTGAAGAGCATCATCCGTGCAGGTGTATTATGGCAGTGTATTGTGTGGGGCATAAAGGAGCACTTACCTGTTTTCTCTTTGATTTCACAGAGCACGCTGAACAGAGCCGGTTTCATTCTGTGACAGTTCAGCCCATGCTTTCTTTCAAGGAAAAACAGGAAGGAAACAGAATAACTGATCATTCATACATGCCATTAACACAGTGTTTTACATTCATAGTTCCTCTGCTGTGCTACTAAATGTATCGTCTTGATTCAACCTGATTGCACCTCACAGCACCATGCGAGTTCAGCCATTTAGGAACATTATTACGTTTCACGTGCATTTATGAAGTAGTTTTCTTTTATTGTTTTAAAGACATTTATATAAAACCATATTGTTATGTTTAAGCCAACATCAATGTGGTAAATGTATTATGGTGCATTGGTCTCTACAAAAGAGGTCTGCAACAAATGACACTGTATATAAGCTGTAGAATATTTTCTACATAATTATAATTAAACACCAACTTACTGAGACATACACAACACATAACTGAATTAATGCTTTTATATTTTAGCAGCACATAATGTTTTTGTTTGTTCTAAATAAACACTGACTATTTTTCAGGTCGGGCTAAGTTGTGTTTTATCATTTTAATTTCTGTAGGCATATACTTTAAAAAATATATTTTAAATATATTTTATATGTAATTTATTTATTTTTATATTTTTTGTAATATTATTTAATTTTTTTTTTCTTTTTCAAATGTTTTTGCATGCTACCTTTTACATTTTTTGCTTTGTTTGTTGTGTTTATTTCAAAATATTTAAAATATATATTTTTTATATATATTATATTATAATATTATAATGTAATGTTTTTTAATTGCATGTTACATTTCACATTTTTCTTGTCTCATGTATTGTTTTGTTGTTTTATCTATTTTAAAATATTTAAATATATTTTTTGTATTTATTTTTAAACATTTATTTTATGTTATTTTAATGAATTTATTAAAGATTTTTGCATGTTACTTTCTACATTCTTTCCTGTTTACCCAGTTGTTATGTTGTTCACAATTATGTTACTGTTCACATTTCCCTGAAAAGCCTATAATTGGCTGTTTAATGTCACACTGTGATAACTTACCCCATATCGTGTGGCAACATGCCCCGCTATAGGAACCGTGGCGTGTTAAAATGAATTGTATATTTTTTTTTCCTGGACAACAGCAGTGCAAGTGCTAAGTAGTTTTTGTATTCAACACTGTAGAAATAGACTTCTAAAACCACACTGATAAATATTCGCCGGAGGAAAAAAGCTGCTTGTAAATACACCTTATTGTTATTAATAAATTGCGCAACCATGGACAGCATTGTAAAGTGTCATTGCAAAACTAACTTTGCCTGAGCCTCGTCCAGGCTCTGGTCGGTGATGGTCATGATCTGATGCAGAATGTCTCCGATGTCCTGCTTGTTTCTCGCGTCGGATCCGTCATGAGGCACCGGTAAAGCCACCAGGTGTCCGGCGAGGGTCACGCCGCCCAGGGTCTGCATCAGATGACTCTGCTCCTCCATCCTCCGCCTCAAAGAGCTCTGGTTTCTTTTAAAATCCACACAAGAGAGATGTTGATGCCGTCCCGAATCAATGCAATGGAAATGACGGATGCGCAAGAGTCCCAAGTGCGCGAAAACAAAAAAGTGCTTTAATAAAACGATCCACTGATTTCCAGAATCAGAAACAGTCTAGTGCACTTTGGTGCTTTTACTGTTCGTCATTTACCTCGTTGCAATGTTTCTTCACACTATTATTCCATGCAGTCCAGTGGCAGCTTCTGCAAAACTTCAGAAAATCCCCTTACTAAAATAAATTAGTGATAAAAATGGGATGCATAAAAGCTGCAGTAAACCATTGGCTTTCCAGTGTTCTTCCTTCCTGTTGTTGAGCTGTGGAATAACGCAGACAGGTTGCTAAACGCGCCTCGCGCTCTTCTGGATGATCTACAGCAGATGTAATGGGTTGTGAGAATATCCGTGTGGATTCCTGTGTGCGTCTCGTGCGCAGCAGCTCCTCCTGATGATGTTCCCAGTGTTGCACAACAGCGTGCAGACAGGCGGCTCCGCCCACCCGGGGTCTGCAAGTGTGCATCCGTGCTCACCATTACATACATGTATATGTCCAGAGTCTGGACGAGGCTCGGGCAAAGTTAGATTTAAAATGACACTTTACATTGCTGTCCATGTTAATACAACTTAATAATGATTTATTAATACGCAGCTTCGAGTTTTTAAACTCCGGCGAATATTTATCAGTGTGGTTTTAAAAGACCATCTTTATACGGTCTTGAATAGCAGCTAAAAACTATTTAGCACCTGGACATTGCACTGTTGCTGTCTAGGGGGGAAAAAAATAAAAAATTAACACGCCACACATCCTATAGAGGGATATGTTGTTACACAGTATGGGGTAAGTTGTCACACGGTGTCATTCAGCGAAATGTGAACTTATGAAAAAAACAACATTCAGAAAACAGCAAAAATGTACAAAGATAGCATGCAAAAATATAAAATCGATAAATAAATAGATAATAATAATAATAATATTGAATAATATAAAAATAAAAAATAAATACAAATAAAATACATTTAAATTTTTGAAATAAAACTATACCTAAAATGGCAAGCATCTATAAGACTGCATGTAAAAATATTTAGTTATAATATTATAATAATATACAATTAAATAATATTTTTTAAATAATTAAAAATACAAAATATATTAAAAATATATATATATTTTTAAATATAAATGCAATTTAAAATATGGTCTACAGAAATTTAAAATTATAAAACACAACTTACTCCGACCTGAAAAATAGTCAGTGTTTATTTAGAACAAACAAAGTTGGTGTTTTTAATCATATTAACAATGCAGAAAGTATTCTACAGCCTATACAGTGTCATTTGCTGCAGACTACCACTTGTGTCAAACAAACAAACAAACAAACAAGCAAATAAATAAATAAATAATGTAATTTCCAAGAAATAAATAGGTAAACAAGCATATAAATTAATTAAAAAATGTTTTGTCAGGTAACCTCAAAAATATGCTTCATGTGAAAACATCTAACAGATCTGAATCAATAGAACTGCAACAGTTTAAACTAATATATTTTTTTAATAGATCTGTTCAGGTCAAACAAACAATTATAAATAACTACAAAATAAATTAATAAACAAGTAGGTGTAAGTATATAAACAAACAATAAACAAACAAATAAAAACAAACAAACAAATTTAAACAGCAACATTGTAAACAGACGGTCTAATCAATCTAACAGGTTAAACTAATTTTCTGATTTTCTGATCATTACAGTAACTACTGCACATTTTCATTCGTTTTTTTAACCGTTGTATCCATGGTGCAATAAATTTGATTTCATCATCATCATAAAAACATAATATTATACACAGCTACAAAATAACTTAGTATACAATCATATATAAATTTGTATATGCACTAAAAAAATAAAAATACATAAATAAATAAATAAATGTTAGTTATGTAATTAAAAAGCATACTTGATGTGGTAAGGAATCAGATTTTATTCCAGTCAAAGATATCATATATGACTGAATCAGTCTGATTAAATCGAGTGCACCAGCAAAAGTCATTTTCCCTGTTGTAAAATGGCACATTTTCAGTTTTTAGCTACAGAAAAAAAAAATATTGCATTTACAATGGATGGGAGAATTCTTTAATTTAGTAAACATTATTCTATTTTTCCATATTGCACTGTGATTTTGCAAGGTCTAGTGTAAATAGTGTATCTTGCATGTTGAGAAATGTCATAGCCTATTATTTAAAAACTTCATAACAAACAGTATTTCTCTCTTTCTGTTTGTTTAACAAACTATGAAAATGTTTGAATCATACGATATAAAGCTATATCGTGTTGTGTTGGATTTTTGTGAACTGTTGCATGGTATGCTCTTGAATGTTAACTCCGTCCATTATTTCTTATTGATAGTCTTTGTTATACTTAAAAAGCAAAGTTATTAATTGTAGACATTGTATAATGTGAAGTTTGAACATGCCACTTGATGAAAGAAATTATGAAAATAAAGAAGTAAAGAGAAAAATTAAAAGGAACAATGTAAAAATAAAATAATAAAATAAAATAATCTCGCGGTCTGTCTATCTACTTTATTTATTCTCTGAGTCTTGATTGGCCGCATGTCTTGTCCATCGTTCGTTCTAGAGGGTGTTTCCCAGAGCGGTGTACTTCCGGTATGAGGGGTAAACCCACAGGAAGTAGCTTACTGGACCAGCAACACAGGAACAACAGAGTAAACAGACACACTTATTCTGTTTTTGGGACGATATCTCCATAATTATGAAATGAGACCGTACAGTCAGTCCCTCGCTCAGACGGCGTGGCGCGTCTGTGATGGTTTGAGCCGCTGTTATAGGCATGAATGAAGGTAATGATGCGCTGATGTTTGAGGCTTATCGAGCAGATTAGCACGAGCATTAGCAGGGCCTAGCCAGCGCGTACACTCAGCTCTTACTTAAGTGTGTTTCATCCAAAATATTATTCAAATGTAATCTTCATTCATTTCAGACAGCAACGAGAGTACATTTGTGACCAGTTCGCCCTCAAAACGAACACAGTTATTGTGGTTATTGATCAGAAATTGTTAGCTTGCTGGCTAATTAGCATTTTAGCATAATCACTTGTCATTTTGTTTACAAATCAAGATTTTTAAAAACGTTTTAACATGTGGTGTAACAATATGGTATGGGTGTCCCTGCTTATATCATTGTCTAGTTAAGAAGGTTGTTGTTTGGGTTTCCGGTGACAGAAGCGATCATGACAGCTAGTGTCTAGTTTAGTAATTAACCAACTGTGTGTGTTTGCTTTACTGTGTGTTTATATCATAACAATAATAGAGCCTGCAAGACTGGTTTATCCGTTTTACCTGTGTGTCCCTTGTGGTTTTTGTCCTAAACTTGTTGAGTGAATGCTTTCAGTTTGACTTTTTGTAAGATGTGATGATGTGAATTGATAGCAAATATTTATTTTAATTTATATATCTATTTACTCCTGTAAAGCCTGACATATGAAATATGTTTAAAAATGGAACAGTTTAGTGAAATTTGTAACTTTTTTTGCACAGTTTACTGAGACGAAATGTGCAATTTGTTGCTGATGTTGTTATTTATATGGCCAAAAATGTAATTCTGATAGCTTGTAAAGCAGCCAGAACTTTATAACAATATAACAGAATACTTATAATGCATATAAATATAATTTGTCACTATATCGCCCAATAATATCTTAGTAAGGTGATATTTAAATACTTAATTTTATGATCAAAGGTCGGTAGTTTCAAAACGTATAATGCAATGCAATACAATAATGATTGAGAGGTGAACAAATAAACGTTACTCAAAAGCCCGATGATCATAATTTTTCTAAAAAATTATAAGTATGACAAGTAAACCTACGTTGCTTCAGTCCAGTAAGTGTTCATCTTCAAATACTAAAAATATAAACATTATTTTTGCATTTACTTTATAAAAATCAGTAAAGATTTCACAACAAAAAGACTTGAACCACAAGATGAAAGTGGATGTTTTTACAATTATACTAAAAGACCTTTTAATTACTAAAAATTTTAAACTATCAATCAAACGACAGAAGGTATGTAGTAGATTATGAACAGCAGAATTTTCAGCAAAGTTTTGATCATGTAGAAATTTGCATATCAAGTATGATACAGTAGGCTTTAATAGGGTGAATATATATTACGCAAGTCATCATATGATATTTGTGGCTTAACAGTTAAACATCTAGTCTGTGTTACCCTGCAGGCAGGCATCCATGTCCAACCATGGAGAGGAGAAAATAATCCCAAAAAGAAGGAAAAGAAGACGCTGCATCGCTGAGGAATCTTCAGCCTTAATCTCCGACTGAGGGTCGGCACATCCGGACGGAGAACCGGAGAGCGACAGAGGGGCGAGGGGCTGGTGCTCAGAATGGCTTTCCTCGACAACCCTGCCATCATCCTGGCCCACATCCGGCAGTCGCACGTGACCAGCGATGACACCGGGATGTGCGAGATGGTCCTGATCGACCACGACGTGGATCTGGAGAAGTGCCATTCGTCTGCGGCGTCTGCTGGTGGAGGCTCGTCCGGGGGTTCGTTTGGAGACGGCAGCGGTGGAGGAGACAGCCAGACCTGCGATCTCTCTCAGTCTGTCGACATCACCTCCAGCTGGGACTTTGGCATCCGACGGCGCTCCAACACAGGCAAGTAGATGTCTGACTCTCAGAATTTGCTGCTTTCGGGGCCCTGAATCCAGCTTACTGATGTGGTTGGTACAGCTAAAGACGAAATGCCCAAAACCTTCTCACACTTGGATTTAAGATTGTTTAATGAGATTAGAAAAGCAAATATTGCCCAGGTACGCTTTATTTTTACATTTGCGTAAATTCCAAAAATTTTGTGTGATTACAGCATTTCGCTAGATTTGGAATGAGAACCGTTTGTAAACCTGCTGTCACAGAAACTTGAAAGGCTTCCCTGTAGTTTTTCACCAAAACAACAGTTCAATGGTTTAACTCTTTCAAGTATTGATTAATCACTGCCCAATTTTATTCCCTTATTGTTGTGGCAATTTGTCCGTGTGTTATCGAAAATGGTATTGATTATTTATTTTATTCATGGCATTGAAGTTAGAAATTCCAGTATTGTGTCTCTCAGAACAACTTAAAGGAATAGTTCACCCAAAAATTAAAATTGGCTGAAAACTTACTCAACCTCAGGCCATCCAAGATGTAGGCCTAGATGAGTTTGTTTCTTCATCAGATTTGGAGAAATGTGGCATTACATCACTTGCTCACAAATGGATGCTCTGCAGTGAATGGGTGCCGTCAGAATGAGAGTCCAAACAGCTGATAAAAACATCACAATAATCCACAAGTAATCCACACCACTCCAGTCCATCAATTAATGTCTTTCGAAGTGAAAAACTGTGTTTGTAAGATACAAATCCATCAAGACATTTTTAACTTCAAACCGTTGCTTTCAGCTATAATAGGATAAAATAAAAATATGGCTAAAATAAAAACCCATAATCTATTATTAGCTTCCTCCAGTGAAAAAGTCATCATGTCTGAATCAGGAAAAAAAAAATGTATAGATGAAGCATCGTTTTCAAGCAAAAATAGTTAAGAAACACACTAAACAAATATGTTGGTGGATTTTGAAATGAGAGGACAAGAGAGGACTTTTTCACTAGAGCAAGCGTTGTTATGGATTATGGACTGAAAGTTTGGCCAGAAGCAACAGTTTAAAGTTAAAATGCCTTAACGGATTTGCTTCTTACAAATACACAGCTTTTGGCTTCATAAGATGTTCATTGATGGACTGGAGTAGTGTGGATTATTTGTGGATTATTGTGCTGTTTTTATCAGCTGTTTGAACTCTCATTCAGATGACACCCATTCACTTTAGAGGATCCATTGGTGAGCAAGTGATGTAATGCTACATTTCTCCAAATCTGGCCTGATGGTGGGTACATATTCAGCAAAGTTTTCATTTTTGGGTGAACTGTTTCTTTAAGAGTGCTCATGCTTATCTTGCGCTCTCAGCATTTTCAGTATGTAGCTTTAGATTTTGCAGAGGGATCAGATATGAGCATGACAATGGCTTGTCAGTTTTTCAGTGTGAGAAGATGCTTATTGGTCACTACCAGAGTTTACTAACCGATAATATCAAACATGCTCAATGTTGAAAATCTGCTAATGGGATGCCGGTCTAAACTTAACCTTGCACGCTTCTGCTTCAGTTTGCTCTGTGGTGTCATCCCATGAATACTTCTCTTTCTCTCTGAACGTGTTTTCTATCTGTATTGCTTTGCTTAAAGCAGTTCAGCTGATGATGCTGAGAATTGTGACCTTTGAAGCCATTTAGGTCTCTTAACTGGAAATGCAGCTATAACTTGCTTTTAAAGATGTTAAACAACAACAAGTCTTAGCAAGTGTAGTATGTTATCATTATATCAATTAGCATTTTTCTGGTCATCATCTGAACTGCTGCATGGCTTGCAGATGGACAGGAATCACAGCTTATTAGGGTTGGGAATCGAGAACTGGATCCTTTTCCGATAACTGTTCTGGAACCTCAGTCTCCAGACCAGAAAGTTATTTTTGATCTAAAACATTTATTCATTTAGCAAAATATGACATTTGAGGAAGTTCTGTGTACTTTGAGTTTTGCATTATATCTGAACTCATTTGACGACAGACTGCTGAGGGCCCTAAATGCAATTGATTGCAATTGAAAGAACTGCTTCCTAAATAGCGATTATTCAGAAAACCTGAAAGTATTGTTAAAGCAATCCTCAAGGAACCAGAATGAACCAGAACCAGTGGAATCTGAATCGGAGCCAGAATCGCTCGTTTCCTTACTATTCCCATCCCTGCTGCTTACTGATTATCAATAGGCTGAAACCTTGGAGCAAAACAAAGCAGAAAGTTAGGCTGGACTTAAACACTTTAGCTATATTTTTGCTGCTTCGTCTTTCCCTCAAAGCTTTCCTGTTAATGCAGCTACATTAGTCTTTACTGTACCAGCCACTCAGAATTGAGCAGGAAAAACTATCTGTATTGGGGCTCGATAAATGTTTACACAAATGAAAAGGAAATTAGCATTTTGATCTCAATATGTACCATTTTTAAATGAAATGTTTCTTTGGGGGAATTTGTTATTTTTATTATCTGATTTTCCTTTTCTGTGATCAAGGGTTAATCTGATTGTGCTTGTTGGCTGGGAATGGCAACTGACTGAAATTGATTTGTACTCTTAGACGATCTTGCCTTTGCAAACCTGTTTCCAGTGCTAAAATTGTTTCCGGTGAAATTGGATCGTTTGTCTTTTGGAATCAGTTGTAAGCTTATCTGATGATTTCTTTAAACAAATAAATCTAGTCTTTCTTGTTTTTCAGTATTAATCCTGTTCAAAATCATCAGTATGAGCACAAGTTAGTTTTAGTGTTTTGATATTGGACTATTACAGAGAATATCTCAACAAATGTGACAATGTTTTGCAGTAGATAGCAGCAAACACACAATGTTTTATATTGAAATATCTCTAATTAAATTCAAAGAGTAGTTTGACAAAGCAAACCTTTTTCGCATGGAAAACAGTCAGTTTCTCACATTACAGGTGAGTTATACTTATTATATTTTGCTTAGGGAACAATTTCACAATTATGAATGCAGAATTATCCATAATTATGTGAGGCTCTAATTATATTATTCTTGTTCGCACAGTTTTTGGTCAGTGTAAAAAAGACTGAAATACTGATGCCGGGTAATGCTGAGGTTTGTTCCTGGAGTCGTTCAGTTTCAGTCAGTACGTTTTGTCATGGCAGCTGTTGAAATGCGCATTAATCCTGGGCTAGGGATTGATAATCACTAGCACTCTAGCTTTGTAACTTTGATGAAATGAATGTGGCTTAGCACTGGTTTTGGGATGCTTTTGTCGGGGAGGGGGATCTTTAAAATATTTCTCTATTATGTACCATCTGAACAACTTGTGCCAGGACGACAAGACAGTTTCGTGAGACCTGAGCCTGCTGGTAAGCAAGTGTTCAGGACAGGAAACAGTGCTGAAAATATCAATATGAATCTGATGAATCTTATCTGTGAATCAAATTCAGTTTGAATTTCAGCAATTCATTCTTTAATCTCAAAAGGACATTCTTTAATTGGATGTAAAATTGGATTTTTGTAATTATTTCATGACTTTAAGAGGTCTACATAATTTTTTTTTTTTTTTTTTAATGGGGTTGAAATCCAACTAGGTCCCACAGACCCTTACTGTGCGTTCACACCGCCGCCGTCGAGAGCGTCAAAAATCGCTCTGGCCACTCTGCCAGCAACGCTGTAGAAAGATTCGTGGACGCTCTGACGTAGATCGAATGCTTATCTTGTATTTAAAGGGGTCGCAAAGCAAACAAGCTTGTTGATCTTGTGCAGGCTGACCACAAGGAGGGTAACGTTATAAGTTAACCTCAATAAATATTGTTGTGGACGAAGTATTACGATCCTTTACCTAATAATGTATAAAGCACTAAGACCACACTGTAAAAAAAACTCTGATACAAGTAAAAGTCCTGCATTGAAAATGTTACTTAAGTAAGTATAATCA